AGCTAGTCATCACCACCCACCGCCAACTCTTGGGCTACTCTTTTACCAACGAATAGTGGGATTGACCGTCACATTATAACGCCCCCACGGCTGAAAGGGCGAGCATGTTTGGTGGGATGCGGATTCGAAATTTGACTGTAGATTTATTTTCGTTGAAAATTCTTTATAACTTAGCCTTTAACATCTTCTACTGTCACTCACACTTACGATGGCGTTTTAAAAATATATCCAATTTTTCTAACGTAAACAATTATTGTAGAAAACCAGTTTTCGCATAATGAGTGAATAAAAAAGCTATGTATATTCCGTTGAATTTCCGTGTGTATATATATACATACAAGTACTCTCGCACCAAACACGTTTAATTTCTGATAAAGGGTCAGTACTAAATTGGAAACGGAACGTAGATTATAATAAAAAATATTCAACTGCCTGACCCCAAGATTTTGCGAATTAAAGGTCATATATTGTTGGATTTCAAAGTTTATTTTTGTGTGTAAATATTTTGTGGTACAGCTATAGTAATCCAAGCCTCAAGATTTTTTGTTCTTCGTGTACACAAAATATCTATGGTATCAATAAAAGGCTTCTTTCCTAGTATGATACGACCAAAACTCTTTAATATCTTCGATAAGTATTACCCAGATTATATTAGCTAGGCAAGATAATGCCAAATTAATTCGTTTGTACATTTCAACTATTTAGGTGTGACACAACACAATTCTGCTTAACACAAAAATCATAAAGAATGATCCAAAGCATAAAATTTCAGGAGTCAAAAGTTTTATTTACTGAATCCGACTTAGAATAACAGTGGATACACCAAGTTTTGCTGAAGAAAGAATAACATAGTATAAAGTTCACATACATAGTATTGCTCCTGGGACGTAGATATACAAGGAAATGAGAGAAAAATAATAAATACAGCTTCACCATTCCCCAAAGCCCAGCTTTGTGTAAGTTTGTATATAGAGTAAATAAATCTCAACGAAATATTTCACAATGGAATGTGATTTTTTTTGGCTAGAAGTCTCAAAACGTAAATCCTACCTAATGAACAATGCACATACAGTACCAGATATTAAAGGCTTCCAGACGATTTCCCTACAGTTTTTGACTACTTTAGGGAAATCAAATGCTCTATTTATTCATGTTGATCAGTCATTTTTATATCGAACTTTAGCTACTTCAATCATAGTTGAAGAATTACACCACAGTATGATGACATAGCATAGCACTAAATGTATTATCTGTAACATGTTGATCAGTCATTTTTATATCGAACTTTAGCTACTTCAATCATAGTTGAAGAATCCCACCACAGTATGATGACATAGCATAGCACTAAATGTATTATCTGTAACAGTATCCCACCTAAAGTAAAGCTCAACTATGACTTCCAATTCGTTAGAAACAGGACCTTGTAACATACTGTATATACCTTTTTACACACACATATATATATATATATATATATATATATATATATAT